GAAAATACAGGGCATCAAACGTTAAGGTTTCAAATTTCAGTTGTCTCATGGTGTCGTTGTCTTTTACAGGGTAATGGAGTTGCTAGCCTCCCACTCAATCTTCTCTCTCTATTCTGGGCTTACTCTATCGATTAGTAAACTAGATGAGGTCTAAAAAAGTGTGTCGACCGGGAATCGAACTCGGAGCCAGTGGTGTGAGGCTGGTGAGCATTCTATCATTGAATCAACGACGCATCAAGTGTATATTGTCTATATTCTTCTTTTTCTTATCCTTTTTGGCAAAGTTTTACAATAGAGTCCCAAGAGTTGCGAACGCACGAGTGACCTTGAGCCGACCAATCAGGGAAAATGAGGATTTCTGCATAAAATTTTACGTATATTTACATATAATATCATGAAAAAAACATTAAACAGGGTATTTTTGTATTTTTCATTGCACACTAGTCAGCAACTTGTGTAATGTATCTAGTCCTATCTTCGGTGCAGACCGAATTCTATCAGTCATGTTTGCAATGTGGCCACCATGCTAGATGGCTCACCATTACGGTGCACTGTGAATTGTTAGTATTAGATGGTTGGAGGCAATCGGCCACTGGAAGCCTTGCACCTAGCTTTCCTGCTAGTTGGCACTCATCAGCAAGGCGTATCTGCAACCGTGAAGGAACTCATGTTCCTTCTGAGATTCGAACACGCGTCACCCAGTAAGTGCTGCAGTCAGAGACGTTACCACTGAGCTATTCAGGCTGGCTCGTGATTGACCTCCTGTAGGACTGTATTGGATATTTTTGATTGCACGCCTTGCTGATGAGTGCCAACTAGCACGAAACCTAGATTAAAGGCTTCCTGTGGCCGATTGCCTCCAACCATTTAATACCAACAGGGTATTTTTGTCTAATATGAGATAAAAAATCTCCCTATTATGATGAGGGGTTTCAGTTTTTAAATTAAACCAATTTCTACACATATATTCATCCAGATGACTGAAAATAACTTGGTTTTGAGATCCGTTGATAGCTCTGATTCAATTTTTTAGTCTTCCCCAGAAACCTTCGATTGAATTGGTATGAGTACCGGTTCTGGGGTCGACGAAGTCATCCGAATGGTTGACTCGATGATGTATATATCCCAGTTGCGATAATCGGTTATATCCTGCCCATTCATCCGTGTGAATGGTGGTGTCTGGTAAGACGAGCCTCTGAATAATAGGGAGGAGTGTATCAGCACTCTGTGTACATCTGAATACATATCCGTCAGTGACCTGGGTATACGACTGGAGGTTCATGGAAGCACCACAACTACATATCCGAGTACGTCCTATCAATCCATTATCTAAGCAGTACTGGAAAACGTGATCTGGATGGAATTTGCATCTGAGCTCATGAACAGCTTTCATTTTCGCGCTAGAATAATGGTAAGTTTCCTCAACCAACGACTGGCAAGCGTTCAAGGTCATTTGAGCGTTCGCACTCCTGGGACTCTATTCTTGTACTTCGCCTCCTTCTTCTTCTCCTTCTTCTTTCATCTATTTACCACTTTGAATTCTTATATTATTCAGTATTTTTTATATTCACTAGCTTATTCTTCTTTGTGTATTCTTTTCTCACCTTTCTAATTATGTTTTTTAGTGGTAGGGTTTCTTTGGTTACTATTTTTAATTATTTTCATTGTACTATTAAATATATATTGAAACATTGAACCATTGTAATATAAACAAAAATTGTTGTATTCAATTAGATCTTCTTCAGGCTTTACTCTAATTTACATAGCTCTTTATATATATATATATATATATATATATATATATATAACCAATGACGGTGATTTTTTGGATCATATAATAATAATGATAATAATAACCCTCATTATTATTATTATTATTATTATTATTATTATTATTGTATCCTTTAATTCCTAGAGGAACATAGGGCTTCAGCCGTGCGTCTCCATTGCGTTCGGTTCTATGCTAGAATCTTCACCTGGCTCCACACGTTTTCATCTCCTCTTCACATGACCTCCTCCATGTCACTCTCGCACTGACGACCAACTCGCCACTTCCCTTTCGGGTTCCACTCGAGCAGTGGCTTGTCTAGTGATGTCACATGATGGTTGGTTTCCTCAGAGTATGGCCAGCAAATGCATCTCCATTTCTTCCTGCCTATTTGTTTCACAATCGGTTCCTGGTTGGTTCGCTCCCAGAGATCCCTGTTGCTGATCTTTTCTGGCCATCTGATCTTGAGTATTGAGCGAAGACAACTGTTAATGAAGGTTTGTAGTTTGTTTGAGATGGTCTTTATGACGCGCAGTGCAAGTCTTTGATCCGTATAGTGAGTAGTACTGACTTCACATTGGAGTTGAAAATCCGGATCTTATTTTTGATACTGAGTGCTGTTGACCTCCACACAGACTTGAGAGTAGAGAAAGCTTGTCTTGCTTTTCCGATTCTCGCTTTGACATCCTCGTCAGTTGCGCCTGTAGTTGAAACGATGCTTCCCAGGTAGGTAAAAGAGGTTGTTTCTTTCAGGTTCCTCCCATTTATGCTGATTGTTGTCTGTTGTTGTTGCTGTTGCTGTTGGTGGTGTTGACCTCAGTTTTGTATCAATTTGGTCAGATGCCTCATGAATAGAGCAAGACGGATCTGTTCAGATTACTGGCTTGAGAATGAATTAGGATACATCCAAAATATGCTGGTCAAAATGGGTTATCCTAGTAGATTTGTAAGGTGACACATGAATACCTGGTACAATAAAGAGAAACTGATAACAGTTAGAAAGCAACAACTGTTTCTTAAAATTGTAATTTAATGAGGATGTGGCTAGTAGCGAAGTCTTATATCTAAGATTATCGAGAACAATAAAACGGACTTATACTGCCGCCACCACGCTTTGTTTGTCATTTTCCAGCTGCCGATCAATTATGGTTGCTCAAGTGAAAGACAAGTTACCTAACTGTGCCCGTTCTATGTGTATCTACAAATTTAGTTGCTTCTGTGGAGAAAGCTGGCTATATGGGGCGAACAACTAGACAGCTCAACAAACGCATTAATGCGCATATTCCTTCATTGTTCGGAAAAGGCCAAATAAAATCTATATAAAGTTCTATTTTGTCTCATTTGATTATTGATACAGGTCACCAAGTGGACAGAAGAAGAAGTGCCTTCAAAGTACCTTATCTACCGCATTCCATTGAGCCTTTCAAACAGAATTCGAACCCACCTGATAAACGCATAGCCGAAGCTATGGGAATTAGTTCGAGAGAACTATCCTAGTCTTTGCATACAACAAAAGAAGTTTGTTCTCCCTTTGTCGCTCTCTTGTTTGCTTAGGTAAATTCTTATTAAACCACTGCCCCCACCCTTTCTCACTTTCCATGACCTTCGTACTTTTATTGTAGTGTGATACAGACAATGTGTGCCAACAGTATATGATTCTCACAGGTTTCCACAGTTCAATACTGCATTGGCAAAAGAATACCAAATATGTTTGAACATTCTGTTCCATATTGTTTGATGTAAACCGAAATCACACACTCAGTGATTATTATTATTATCATTATTATTATTGTTCCCGTGGGTTCCTAGTGGAACATAGGGCTTCAACTGCACGTCTCCACTTGCTTCTATCTTCTGCTGTACTTTTCACCTGCATCCATGTTAGTCCATACTGTTTCAACTCCACTTCACACGATCTCCTCCATGTCACCTTTGGACGTCCCACTCGTCGCTTCCCTTTCGGGTTCCACTCAAGCAATGGCCTGACGCACGATGTCACCCAGCGGCCTCCTCAGGAAGTGTCCAATCCATCTCCACTTTCTCCTGCATATTTGTTGGGCGATTGGTTCTTGTTTTGTTTGTTCCCATAATTTCTTGTTGGTGATTCTTTCCGGCCATCTGATCTTGAGTATAGAGCGAAGACAGTTGTTGATAAAGGTCTGCAACAGGCTGTTGGAAATATTCTTTGTGACCCGCCAAGTTTCTGATCTGTATTGAAGAACTGGCTTGACGTTTGTATTGATTGGTTAGTGAGTATAAACTGGATAGATACAAATAGCTGTCTGATCAATGAAAAATATGCCTTGACTCCCGTGTCCTGTCTCCTGTTGTTGCAATATGATATTTATTTAAACTCTGATTATCTATCCACTTCACCTACCTTTAGTATTACGTAACTTTTCAGGTTTGATCTAATTTACTTATTTATTGAATTGTCTACATATACACATACATATTACTTGCTGCCTTTGTTATTCTTATCGCCACCTGCATAAACCTTATTATCATTACTATTTTTTGTTATCATTATAATCATCATTATTACTGACGTTCAAAACATTTCCCACAGGACGGAGTTTCCTGGAGTTCTAGTGAGAAGTCGTGACCAGTGAGGTCTAACTAGTCAAGTTTGAGGGTGGATTTCCCATCGATGACATTGGTCGGTGGTCGCGCAAAATATGTGACGAATTGGTAGAAGTTACAATTCATGAGCTGATGACTATTGAGTCCGGTCCCAGTGGCTGAATGGTATACGAGCTTGCTTGCTTGTAACCAGAAGATCCTGGGTTTGAGACCCAGTAGGTGCGTACTGCTGATGAGCCCCAGACTAGTGGGACGAAACAGTTGTCCAGTACTCCCTGTGGCTGGTTTTCAATGGTTCTCTAACTGATATCAATCCGTGGTCAAATTCGTAAAAACAAAGCTAACCCTTACAAACCAACTCTTGAAAATTATTATTATTATTTGATCCACAAACTCATCGTCATTAGTTGGAAATTTTTATATATAAATCTATGCAAATTAGAGTAAAGCCTGAAGAAGAAGATCTAATTGAAAACAACAATATCGTTCGCTTATTATAATGTCCCGTTTTAATATTAATTATGGAAATATTTAAAGATTGTTGTATTCTACATTATGGTAAAGTTAATTTTAGCTTCATTACTATTTTTATTGTGTATTTTTCCTTCTCTACCAAAGTCTCACTCTCCCTTTCTCCCCCTTCTTTTAGGTTACGGCAAAACGTGACAAAGACGTGATCCTGTATCAGGTACAATCTGCTGAAGATGAAAATCTTAAAAAAGATGTAAGTACAGTAGACTGCGTTATATTTGGGTCAATATATTTTATTATGTGCGTCGGTGGCATAGCGGTAGAACGCTCGCCAGCCATGCAGAGTGGTCCGGGGTTCGATCCCCGACCACTGACTCACTCCTTTACCTCGCCCGCTAAGCCGGTAGTAATAGGACTGGCAAAGAGGGAAGGTTGGGCATGAGGCTGGCTAGCAACCCCATCCCATAAGAATAAATAAACACCACTGCTACAGAAACTTCAAACCTGTACCTTGAAGCCCCTTATGTTCCACTGGGGGGAACGTAAAGGAATAAAAAAAGTAGTATACTAATGAAGGATTGCATTGCATCAGTGTAGATTTTGTCATCAACCAACCAACGTAAGGCGGAAAGTGCTGAACAGTTGTTTCTTCCCAGTTTGAAACTCTTCATCCGTGCATATCCGCTACCACCACACCCAGGGATCGAACCTGGAACCTTCAAGTTAAGAGACTGTCTCCTTAATAAATGTGTACAACTTTACTAGATATATCACACAGTGAAACAGTATTATTTACTCGATGACACAGTTTCGAACAAAATTTATTGTGGTTCATAATTATATCAATTATAATCACATGACTTCGAAACTTGAGTTTCCAGGAGGGTATTAGATAAACTAAACTGTTTTGTTTTAAAGGCTCCACAGGACTGATCCCCTAACCGACAAAGGTTTTTGAGTTTGTGAGTTTGAATGCCATTTTTATTCCTGCCTTGTCAAGAATTCTGCGTAATAATTACCCGGATAAATTAGTCAGGAAATATCTAAGGAAATGTAAAAATAAAATAAATAATGATAGTAGCGATAGTGATAATAATAATAATATTAATGACGACACCAACAATAAGAAATCTAAATCATCAGTAGTAATTTCATACAAGGAAGGAACCTTAAAAACCAGCTTACGCAGAATTCTTAACAATACAGGCAGGAATAAAAGTGGCTGGCATTCAAACCAGCCACAAACTCAATTAGAAACAAGCTTTGTCGGTTAAAGGATCCTGTAGAGCCTTTAAAACAAAACAATCTAGTTTATCTTATACCCTACCCACAATGATTGTCAGGTCAAATACATAAGTCAAACTAGTAGAACAGGGGCAGTCAGACTAGCGGAGCGTAAAAACCTAGCAAAATCTAGATTAGTTGACTCGAATAAGATAGGAAATCTAGAGAATAGTTCAGCTATAGCACTCACTACATGCAGTTACGCACAACCATACAATAGGATAGTGGGATAAGATGACAGTCTTAAAATCTAAGTGATATAACAGGGTGGAGGGAGAGATTGATGACAGCGGAAGCTTTGTTTATCGAATCAACTGGGAGAGAATACGTGTAATAGGAATGATTCAACACCTTCCCACCCAGATATCTGTTAAATTCTAATACCCTTACTAAGACAAATAGGAGGAAACAAAGGAAACTATAAAACTCAAGTTTCCAAGTCGTGTGATTACATTTGATGTGATTATGAACAGTAATAAATTTTGTTCGAAACTGTGTCATCCAGTAAATAATAATACTGTTTCACTCTGTGTGTGATATATCTAATAAACAAAGTAATATGGAAGAGACTGTCTCGTTAACCACTCAGTCTACTTCGGCCTGGTTTGGCCTGGTTAGTTACAACTGAGTTATCTTGGACGAATGTTTCATGTACAACTAGATTATCAACGGCGACACTTCATTTCTGTGATGACTGATCATACTATCCGAAATGTCAACTGTGAGCGAATATTGTAAGTCCAGTGAAAATTAGTCAATGAGAAATACAAAAGTTGAATTAAATTAAATGAACAATAAATAATGCCTTCTGCACATGAGGTGACCTTCATGGCTCAAAAGACCTAGTGGTTAGCGTTGTGGCGTTTGAAGAGATGGTTGGTGACTGGGTTTAAGTGTCAGTGGGAAAATTACTCATCATTTATTGGAGATTACAGGTGTACATCCAGATGACGAGTTCCAAATAGGAAAAAACAGGCATCAAGTTAGACGACGGATTGATGTTGGTTAGAGAACCATTGAAAACCAGCCACAGGGAGTACTGGGCAGCCGTTTCGTCCCAATAGTTTGGGACTCATCGGAAGTATGCACCTACTGGGTCTCGAACCCAGGACCTTCTTGTGACAAGACAAGATTGTATACCATTCAGCTCGCTAGTGAATGGTTACAGGAAAAAGTTGCGTGACCGATCGGTGAGGTCCATCCAGTCGGGAGTGAGAATGGGGTTCCCGCCGATGAAACTGGCTGAAATTGGTCGCGTTGAATAAATATGATGAATTGGTAGAAGTTAAAGTTCATGGGCTGGTGGCTGTTGAGTCAGGTTCCAGTGGCTGAATGGTATATAAGCTTGTCTTGTAACCAGAAGGTCCTGGGTACGAAACCCAGTTGGTGCGTACTATACTGATGAGTCCCTAACTAGGCTGACGAAACAGCTGTCCGGTACCTTAGTCCTGGCTTTCAATGGTTCTCTAACTGATATCCATCGGTGGTCTTATCTCAAACAAATAGAATAACTACAAACTGATTCTTGAAAGCAGACATCTTTAATTCTACTGCGGGCCATGAAGAGCAATTTACGTCAATGTTACATCCGGAATCGGGGTGATGAGAAAAGCAATAAAAAAGCTTAACCTTGAGGAACTCATCAACCAATCACAGCAAACTCAACGTGTGCAAATATGATTCGCAGATATATGGCTTAACTTTCCGAGAAACGGTCACAAGCAGTACAGAATAACCTTCAACAAGAAAACAACTAATTAGAAGACGTTGCTTCTCCACTGACAATAATGCACATAAAAATCTATAAATATCTGTTGATTTTCTCAATAAACGATTTGTTGCCTGACCCTTGTCTTCTGTCGTAACATTGTAACAGTTATTTCAAAAAAGCATTTATTCCCATGAATTTTCACAATTTAATTTCTCGTATTTAATACTTATTCATATTCCCTATCTATTTTTATTTTATTTTAATTTTTTTTTTAGTTAAAAACCGATGATACTCGTAGCAAAGATATCACTAGCGGCAGTAGTAAAGAAGATAGTCGGCGGTCGAGTTGCAGCACCCACTGCAAAGCCATCCGCCCCCGCCGATCAACCGGCTACTACAATAAAAACTGCAAGTAGTGATAATAATCAAGCGAAAGAATTTCTACACGGTAAATTATGCCTTTCTGGTAAACTAGGCTGGTGGACACATGAAATATGCTTTAATAAACATGTACGACAATATCATGAGGTAATTCGACCTGTTTCTTCTTTGTTCTCTTAATTTCGCGCCGAACTTTTTTGTTTAAATCTGCTGGAATAATAACACTCATGATGATCTCAGTTATCTGGTGGGTGGTGGGTCTTGTATATGACATTTGGATCTCAATAATCCAGAAGTCTCAGGTTGGAATGGAACCCTGCTGTGACTTAGACTCTCATTTGTACTTGTAGTTATTACCGATGGCGAGTAGAACTCAACTTGCATAGAACTACAGACTATTGATTTATTGAGATGAGTAGTTTCATTGTCACTCATATCAACCAATAAGTGCTTGCTAGCCGACTAGATCAATGTGATCCAAGCACCGGATGGCTTCTTCGCCCGTTCGAGGTTGATCTCCTCAACTGTGTGCTGCCTAGTCTGATTCAGTTTCTCTTGATTATAGCTTGAAACCACACAGTATTTTTGGTACAAGTATGGAATTTTCAGCATATGATATTGGTAGCCCAAATTTGTAGGCCGACCATAGATATCAGGTGTGTGCGTCGGCAGGGGATGGAACCCCGGACCATGTGCATGCTCGGCGAGAGTCCTAAGCGCTGTGCGCTACCGACGCACATGAACCACCTGATTTGTGGCTAGTTAGTTACTTGGGTGAACTGATAACATCATAAAATCAAATTCTCAATTTCACCAAATTTTCCTTGGGAAATGAAAAGTGTTCAAATTACAGTGTGTGATCTTCTTGATACCAAAAATGGTAGTCGGGGGGTTGGAACTGATTCGACTCTTTTTGATGTAGTGTTGTATTCTCTGAGTTAGCTGGATGGTTTATTTGTGAAGCTTTCATTGCCTCCTACTAGGCAGCATCTTTAGCGCGTACACTTAAATTTGAATTGAAGTGAGCTTTTAGATTTCTCCATCTCCTGATGACCTTGAATGTCGTGATTGGTTGTTTTTGTAATAATAATAATAATAATAATAATTTGCCTTATTCCAGAAACAGTACTAGTGGTACAGTGTGGAATTTTCAGCACATATATACAATGTTTGCATCTAATTTTATCCAACGTTTCAAAGGAGTATTTCAAAAAAAAAAATATAAAGACAACAACAACAAAAACAAACAAACACAAAAATAATTCTAAAAACATGCGAAAAAAATACCAAGAAGTTGAAAGGAAAATAAGCAACATAATAAATAATATCTCAGTATTGGGTAGTGGAAGCTATGATATGATTATGCAGGGCGACAGTAAAGCTGTAGTCATACAAGAAGTTATGAAATGATATTTAAGAATGTTTATCGTCAAGATGATCAGTTAATTTGATTGAACAACACTAAACAATCATAAAATAACATTTCAGGGTTTTTTATTGTCAGGTCTAATGCAGTGTTTGTAGTGGTAGTGTGAGTAATCCTGCATAATACAAAATTTTAAGATGGTGATAATGGTGTTCACAACCAAGATTGTCAGTTAATATTGCCGAAAAAAATAAAAAATAAGAGAAAACAACCACAAAACTAATAACTACATGATGTCTAATGACAGGACAATTTTGTAATACTCATAGTGTTAATATAGTCGGAACCAGTAGATACACAAAAGAAGGAATACAGTAAAGTACAAAAAAGGAAGCCAATGTTAATAATTTAGGTAGCTAAGTATGTTTAAGAAGGAGTTCACTATAGAATACAAAATAAGAGAGGAATAAAAGAGCCTAAAATTATGTTGTTAATAACAAAGCAAGTCATAGGTTTCACACTTAACATTGTCTCTGTCACTTAGAACACGGGCCAAATATGGTATCGTGTGTGTTTTCACACCCTGTAGGCTACTTGTATTGGAACTGATTGTTTCCTGGACTTGAACTTTGACCCTTTGTGTATTGTGAGATTTGCTTCTTATCGATTTGTAAACTTTGTCTATTTCGATGTGTCTATTGACTGACGATTCACTGGAATATCAGGCTTCTAAAAAGTCCTCTGGTTTTCTTGGTGTTTCCTCTGTCTAATAAGAATGCTAGAGAATTTTCAGAAGCTAGTGTGATATTCCAACAAATAGTCAATCAATAGACACATCGACATAGACAAAATTTACCAATCGATAAGAAGGAAATCTCACACACACAAGGTGTCAAACTTCAGGTCAAGTAAACAATCAACACCAATACCAATATAAGTTGCCTACAGGGTGTGAAAACACACATAAACAACCAATCACGTTCAAGGTCAGCTCACCAGAAGAAATGATTAATAAACTCGTGGAGAAATCTAAAAGCTCACTACAAATTAAAGTATGCGCTGAAGATGTTGTCTAGTAGGGGCAGTGAAATCTTCGCAAATAAACCATCCATCGGCTGAGAGAACACAACTACATCAAAATCATCCACCTGAGCTACATATCTTCTCCATCATATCTGATTCAACTCAGCCTAAAGTAGGCTGAGTCAAACCTGATACACTGTTGAGAAGCTCGACCTCGAACAAAGGAAACGGTTGTCAGGTGCTTAGATTGCTTCGATCTGGCTGGCTAGGAAACACTACTGATTGATTGATGCGAGTAATATATGAATACTCATGTGAATCAATGAAACTGTAGTGAAATTTCATCTCCTCAAACTGAGGATTTGATTTGCAGAATTCAATTATTCTCAGAGAACTACTTACTGCTATGTGTAGCAATTATTTCTTGAACAAAATCTCAGTTTGGTTTGTGGATTTGTAAATGACTATAGCGAGGCGATACTTCACAATCAACTGTATTTCCCTCTCAGTTGACAGTCAGCCATATCTGTAGTGTGTGTTTGAGAGCTAGTCATACTACCTGACTGCACAAACTCTTCGGTAGGCAAAGCGGAGTTCGAACCCTATGACCCAGGGATTAAAAACCAAGCACATCGACCAAAAGATCTACGGCTTAACTATGTGTGATTATAGTTTTATACTGTATGTGGGGCATAGTAGTGTTCATGTTCAGTTGGTGCACTTTTTATCCTCATGTTTATCCTACTTTATGATTACTTACTTTACTTTACTTTACTTCGGCTATCTCCTACGGGAGGATGAGCCGGCTTCATGAACATCTCGAATCATTGCTGCCCAGGCGCGGCGATCTGATGCAAGGTTTTGTGGTTTGTAAGCGAGTTTATGAAGTTTCATGGGAATTTGGTACAAGTGATGTCCCCAGAATCCCTCGGCCTTTTGTTTGAGAGTGCAGCTCTAGCCTTCACACAACCAAGTGTGACCTACAAGGCAGTAGGAGTGGAGTAGGGAGTCCGCTATCCATTGGCAGCCGGTGACCGGAGTTCGGTTCATACGCCTTTTTGAATGGGGCCAGACATCCAGGACATCCAACAAGCCCTTTGTCCATACGTCTGTCGGTGAGCTCCAGTGAGCTTCATACGCCAGTCGTTGGAGGTTTGGAGTCAGGGTTTAGCCATCTCCCCTAGACTGTCATCCAATGGGCAGTCAACCTGGTGAAGAGCGCCGGGGATCCGCTTTCGCCCTCTCACTTTGGTGAAAACACCTCCGCCACGTGAAGGCAGTGAGTAGGACTTCCTCAGGAGAGGCTATGTAAGACGCCTGGTCATATGGGAGCATTTCAAGAGGTATGCGGAGGGGTGGCTAACCCGCAGCGCAAGGCACCCACCCCCTACCATCCTGAGGCTTTGGAGGCTACTTTATGATTAGGATCATTTGTGTGTATAACTTAACACTGTTGCTACATTAAGATTTTCAGTCAGTTCATAAAATCCATTATAAATTGAGAAAAAGAGAGGTCAACCGAAAATTACTTAGACAAAGAGGTGTAGCAATGGTATGGATCACCAATATCCCCTATCGTAACAGATACCTTAATGGACAGCTGGGAAAATAGTGCTCTCAATACAACATTTAATCCTACTCCAAAAATATGGTGGAGATATGTGGATGACACTTTCACACACAGTGTTGAAAACAGAACATATCTCTCTCTAGCTTCTTGATACATATAAACTCACTAGTAAAGGGAATAAAATTCACATTTCAATCGGAAAATGAACAAGGAGAATTAGCTATGGTGTTAGATTGTAAAGTCAAACGAAGAGAAGAAGGTAAACTGCTTATAAAAAACCAACTCATTCAAATAGATATTTAGACTTTAATTCATCTCATCCGTTATCTATCTGTGAAGGCTGGCTTAGTTAAGTGTCTAAAAAACCAAGCAGTAGCACTAAGTAGCACAAGAAAAGACCTTAATGATGAAATAAAACAGATAGAAGAAGCGTTGGCATCAAATAACTATTCTATAAAACTCATTAGGAAGATCAGAAAAGGTCAAAAGCAAAATGAAAACAATGGTGAAACTAATAATGATAAGATAGATGCGAAAGAATATAAGGCATCTATCTACAGTTCTACCGTATAAGGAAGGGACATCTGAAACCCTACGTAGCATTCTTAATAAGGCATGAATTAGGGTGGCAATTAAGCCTACGAACTCACTCAGGTAGGACAAGCTCTGTAGGCTAAAGGACCCGGTGGATCCAATTACACAAAATAATGTAATTTACAAAATGCCTTGCAATGACTGTGAGTTATGTCAACTACATAGGTCAAATCACTAGATCGGGGGGTAGTCAGATTATCAGAACATAGGAATTTGGCTAAGTGTAGAGTGACTTACTTCGTGAAGACAGGTAACTTAAAAAAAGCTGATCAACTGCAAGGCATGCATTAATGCACAATCACACAATAGGTTGAGAGAGGGTTCAAATTCTAAAAAGTAATCTAGGTAGGTGGAGAGAGAATCTGTGATCATAGAATCTACACCCAACACAATGCGTGCAATCGGAATGACTCATCACTCACATCAGAAATATGGAGTACATTACTACCACCAAATCAAATCAAGGGATGAGAAATAATGGAATCATATAAACCAAGCTAGAAAGTTGTATGAGTAATGTCTTGATATGATTATGAGCAGCAATAATAAATTGTGCTCGAATCGTGGTCATCGGTAAATGTTACTGTATACCAG